CCACCGTCCAGCCCATCCACGGTCCGTCCCGTCCACCGTCCAGCCCATCCACGGTCCGTCCCGTCCACCGTCCATGCCCGTCCACGGTCCATCCCGTGCACGGCTGCTTTGCCCTCTGAGGCAGAGTTGAGCATGACCAGAGACCCGAGTGCGTCTGCCATCAGACCCTTTGCAAGGACAGTCTGCTGCAGAGCGCGGAGATCGCCCACGGGCCCACCCCACACACACAGCACCTCGCTGGCCTCTGTATACAGTGTGCACAAATGCTGCTTTCCAGGCCCCGTGGCTTGCGTGGCCCTCAGGGGACCCTGGGACATTCCTCGGCCCACACTGCCCCTCCCAGCCCCCATCCTCCCTGGACGCCCTGGGGGCCCCGAAGCTTTGCCTGAGTTCCCCACAGAGACAGGAGGTGGGGATGGTCTCTCCTCGGGCCTCACCCCTTCCGGGCGGCCATATGTGCCCGCAGATCAGGAGCCAGCGGGGGCGAGGGGGGGCGGCGGCGGGGGGGGGGGGGGAGGGGGGCGGCACCGAGACCCCGCCCGGCTGCCACCCCTGGGCTGTGTGGCTTTGGGCAAGTTGCCTCCCCTCTCTGAGTGGCACTTCCTCATCTGCTAATGTGGGACGGCTGCCGCTCAGACACAAGGAGCCCCCAGCCCAGAAGGACCCTGGGAAATGGAGGTGCCTTCACCCCTGCTGCCCGCCCCCTCTGACCTGAACACCAGCCCCGCCTGCTAGGCCAATATGGGGCTCAGCCAGTGCACCCCAAATGGCAGCATGGGGTACATGCTTTGCCTGCTCTTCCTGGGACCCCAGAGCAGGATGCAGGGGCGCAGGGGTGAGTAGCAGGGTGGGCGCCCTCCGCCCCGGGGCCCCACTCTGGGGCAGGGTCAGGCAGGGGCCGGACTCTGTTCACACCACCCTCCTGCCGTCCCCACCCCCACTCCGCCTCCGATCCAATCCTCATTTCCCAAGGGTTGCCAGGCTGGAGCCCGCATGTGGGCCAGCAGGGCAGGGCCGGGGCACTGACCCCGTATCTTGTCCGTAGGCCTGTGTTCAGGGCCGGGGACACCAGTCCCTCCTCTTCTGCCAGCGGCCTATCCGCAGGGTCACTGCTATTTCTGCCAAAGGGGAGAGGTAATTATAGCTCAGGCGGCCTGACGCAGGCCCGGCCACAGACCGCCCCGCAGCGGACCAGCAGCAGCACCAGGCCAGGGTGGCAAGAGGCTGGAGGGACTGGGTCTCTCTGGGGGAAGGTGGCGGGTGGGGGGGTGGGGGTGGGGGGGCGCTACGGCCAGGCCTGGGCCGGGACCACGCTGACATCCCGTCACTGGAGACGCCACAGAGCCTGGCTTCACGGCCCCAGGGGGAGCCAGGTGAGATCCCAGCTCAGGGGGTGAGTAGAGGCTCACTTCCCATTTGGGAACGAAGCTGGTAGAGAAGATGCCCAGCCAGAGAAGCAGGAGAGAACCTGCCGTGGGCAGGCGGGCAGGCGGGCAGGCAGGGAGGCGGACCAGCCCCCTCTGAACCCCAAGTCTGGTCTGAAAAGTGCGGGCGGTGGGTGCTCTCACTCCCTGGCACTCTGAGCCGCCTCCTCTGTGGCCTGGCCTGACCCGAGGACCCCGGCCAGCCCTCCCTCTACACTCCTGCTTGAGGCGCAGCCGTCTGTGGGTCAAGTGGGGGACTTGGCCAGTTCCTACCACAAAGCTGGGGCACGGGGTCTCGATGAATCTCCCCCGGTGATGAGCCAAGCACAGTCCCTTCAGAAGCCACCCGTGGCCAGGAATCTTGTCATTTTGCAGGGGCAGCAGGCTCAGGCACAGACGCCTGCCCCAAAGGCCCCCGAGGGTGCTGCTGAGGGTAGGTCAACGTGGGCACAGCCAAGCTGAGCAGGGAATGGTCTCTTACTCGGGTCATCGAGCCCCAGCCCCAGCATTCGGGACCCTCAGGGAACCGGCCCTTTTCTGAGCTGATCTGATCAGAGGAAGTCCCCATCCTGGCCCACTGTGCACGTGGCTCACCCTCCAGCTCAGAACATGCCGTTCACTGGGCACCTACTCTGTGCAGGCATGTTATCTCCACCTTTACAACATGCTGGATGGCTTGCAAACGCCCACCATTGTACGGGGGCCTGGGACTCGGGCTGGGTGACCCCCCCTGGGTCTCACTGTGGCCAGGGCTGGGGTCCACCTGCTCCCATGTGCCTGGGGCTCTCCAGGCCAAGGTCAGCCATTCCAGAGCACCCCACTGCACCCAGCAGGCACCCGGCCATCACCCTGAGCTGCTGTTGCCCCACGTCCTAATGTGCAGAGACTCGGGGGAGGGTCCTTGGGGACTGTCAGGACAGCTCCTGCTCCTCGTGCCCCCGACCCCAGGCAGGAGAGCCCAGTGAGCGAGAGGCCAGCCCAGGGGGCGTCCCCAGGGGTTCTCCCCTTGCTCACATCAGAAGTGTGTGTTATCTGGGGATCTGCCAGACTGTTCCGCCCTGTGAGTGCTGGGCTGGGGGCGGCCGGCCGGGCCCGGGAGCCCCCGCCCTCCCGCGGGGAGGCCGGCCTCGGGGTGTCCGTGGCCTCCTGTCCGCTTCTCTGGCCGGAAGAAGGTGCAGCTCGCATCTTGTGCGCTCAGCCCCCTGCCCCCGCCGTTCGGCCACGCCGCTCGGGGGAGGGGGAGGGCACACGGCACCCACGGCCACCGAGCCCCGCTGTGACGGCCTCCTCGGCGGCCAGACCCTCCAGAGGCCACTGCCCGCTGCTGTAATGGAAACTTCTCAGCGGGCTCGTGAGCGGCGACAGCTCGGGTTCCCGCTCGGCTCCAGGCTCCGATCGGCCGCGGGTGGGGGGCCAGGCAGGTGGGCGAGTCACCCGGAGGTGCGGCGCCTGCAGGAGCCCAGGTGGGCATGTGTACGTGGTGTGGGCACGCACGGGGGTGTGGGGAGCTGTGCGTGTATGTGGTGTGCGAACGGGCGGGGGGGGGGGCTCGTGGCTCCGGCTTCTGCGCGGTGACGTCCTGCCACGGTTCTCCCACCTGCGCCAACCCCGGGGGCCCCTGGAGGAGGTGTCTGTCACCAGCCCCAGGTGAGCGGGGGGAGCCCAGGCCTCTCACTGGAGATGGGCCGGGGCACGAGGAGACCCTCGGCTTGCCCAGGGCTACGGGACCCGGCCAGGTCCTCCGTGGCCTGAACCCCAGGGTCCAGCGGGTGGACAGGCACGGCGCGGGGTGGGAGGGGTGACAGGGAGCCGGCGTGGCTGCTGACCTGGCCGCCCGCCACAAGGTCAGAGCTGAGGAAGGCCCCTTCCCCACGCAGCACTGCACTACATGGGGGGTCTCAGAGGGACCCCCGGCGAGGACGGAGACACTCCTGCAGGCAGTGGGCGGTCAGTGGGCGTGGGGAGGAGTGGGGCACAGAGTGGGGCGCACGGCCCGGGCCCGGGTTGTGGGGGGAGGGAGTGACAAGCCTACCGGGTGGTCACAGAGCCACGGCAGGTCAGGTGGCCCAGCCCGGCGGGGGGGGGTGGCTCGGTGCCGTCGGAGGCGTTGGGCCAGGCTGGAGCTGGCCCGGCCCGCCTCACACACGCCCGGAGGTCGGCGGGAGAGGCGAGCCGGGGCCGGGTGCAGAGGCTCAGCCCCTGTGGGCCAACCCCCACCCTCTGCGGGGACTTGATGCACAGCCTCGGCCAGACCTGCGCTCCTGCAAGGGAGGGCGGGAGGGCCTGAGGCTCCCCGGGCTCAGCACCCCGGGCCCACCCGGCCTGGAGCAGGAGATCCGGGGACTCAGCAGGAGATCAGCATCCTGCGGCCCACCTGTGCCCAGCCAGGCAGGCCCCCACCAGAGACAAGGCTCCAGACACCGGCAGGCCCCGTCCCAACCGGGCTCTGAGACCTGGCAGGCCTCAGTTTCCCCACCCCCAGGGAGAAGCAAGTGTGGCCTCAAGAAGGTCAGAGGCTGTTGCCCGAGAAGGCCCGCCCTGAGGGAGCGGGGGGAGGGGAGCGGCGGTGACACACTGCAGGCCCCAGGCCTGAGCTATTTTCCACCCTTTATCACCCATCTGTCACGAGCGGCCTCAGAGTGGAGAGCACTCGTGTTACACACTGTCGCTGCCAGAGGCCCGAGGGTGGGGGCCTGCCGGGCGGCCGGAGGAGGCCCGCGGGGGGGCAGGAGGGGGTACCAAGAGCAGTCTTCGCCTCCCCCTGCGCTACGGGGTAGGGAAACTGAGGCCCAGGGCAGTCACGCTGTTGAACGAGGTCACCGGGCCAAAGAAGGACAGAGCCCAGGACTCCCGCAAAGGCCCCCGCTTCCTCTCGGAGGAAATGACATTTAAGGGGGAGCCGGAGCCGGAACAAGACCGCCCGTGGAGCGAGGCCATCGGGGCAGGGGCAGCGGGCAGCCGGAGGGCAGGGGGACCGCCCAGTGGCAGACGGTGGCCCAGGCAAAGGCACTTGGCCAGAGAAGGCCCAACCCCCCCCCCATGCCCCCCCCCGAGAGCCGCAGGGAAAGGGCACATCCCCCAGGAAGTCCTCACTGCCCTCGCGGGGGTGGGGCGGCCCCGGAGGCAGGGACCCCCACCCCCGGTGTCCGCGTGGCCAGGGAAGCCCCGCGTCCATTTCCCCATATGTGCAATGAGGGGGTGGGGCCCCCCCCGCGCGCCCCCCCCCCCCCCCCCGCTCCCAGCGCCCTCAAAGGACTAATGCTCGATGCCTGGCTTCACCTGCACGGGTGCCTGGCAGGGTCTGTGCCCGGAGAAGGGCTGGGGAAGGTCTCAAAAGTCAAGAGCCCGTCAAAGTCTGCAAAAGAAAACCCACTCGAGAAGGGCCACAGGTAGGGACGACAGGTGCTTAGCAATCACAGGCTCACAGGTGGGAACGGGGAGGCTCCCACCTGACACCTGCTAAGTAAGCGAGTTAAACCTGGGACAGAGAGGGAGGGACAGAGAGGGAGGGAGACGGAGACAGAGTCTGTGCAGAACCGAGGGGCCGCCCCACCAGCCCAAACCCCTCAAGGAGGACGGGACCCTCCGGAGCAGCGCCCCCAGCCCCACGGAACCCCAACAGCGCCGGCCCTTCGCTCACCCCCAGAGTCTCCCCCGTGAAAGGGGGAAGCAAGAGGTTTATTGCAACTTTACCCGAGGCCTCCGAACAGTGTGACGACAAGAATAAAATGCAAACTTCCTGCCCACCCAGTATCCGAGGCCGGCCGTAAATTACGGACGGCAGCCTGTGGGACGTTAGGCAGCCGTGAAAGCTGACGATGAGGGACCCTGTGGCCACCGGGGAGGGTGCAGCCGGTCTCCTCGTGGGCGGGGCTGACAGGAGAATCCCCTCCAGAATTCTACTCCTACCAGGGTCGCTTGTACAATAAGCAACGTCTTCGCTTGTCTTAGGACCATGCTCCGATAAATGAGGACTGCAGGGCAGACCTTGAGCCCCGACTCCCGGCCAGAGACGCGACATCAGACCAGAAAGAATGAAGAGGCCGCTCCGAGCTCGCCGCAGCCCGGGGCAGGGAGGGTAAGGCAGGGTCCCGGACAAGCCCCCATCCCAGGCTCAGGGATCTGGGCTTCTGCTGGGGCGGAAAGGGGGAGCAGGGGCGGGAGGCTCGGTCCCTGCCCTTGCCCTGAGCTGTCCCCGGCCCCAGGGGAGGAATCACCGGGGTGGGGAGTTCTCCAAAGGTGTGGTCTGGCAGAGAGGGCTGGAGCCTCGCAGGGTGGGACACGGCAGAGGTGCATGGCCAGGGCGGAGGGCCGGCGTGCCGTCTGAAAGGGCAGGGAGGGCGGGCCGGGAGGTCTGCACAGGGAGAGACAGCAGATGAGGCAGAGGAAGCAGGAGCCATGGAGAGCTCTGGAGCGAGGCAGCAGCAAGTCTGGATGCTTCCCTGGCAAGGTCCCCTCGCAGCCCAGGGAGGAGGGTGTACGAGTAGGGGAGGAGGGGGTGGAGAGAGGAGGGCCAGGGTGTCCTGTGAGGGTGCAGGTGCGGAAGCCCAGGCCAGGGCAAAGTGGGAACCAACTTCAGACCCGGGTCCTGACCTAATGTCGGTGCTCACCGCCAGGCCGGGAAGGCCGCAGGCACAGGCATCCCAACCGAGGAGAGGGGACAGCCACGAGCTGGGCCAAACCCCAGGACTAGGTGGGTCTCGTGTGCCCCCCAGAAGGCCGGCAGCAGGCTCTGTGCCACCAGGGCCCCCCAGCCGGGAGCCACTGAGCAAGGGGCCTGCCTGGGCTCAGAACGGCCTGTTTGTGGCCAGTTTACAGATGGAAACACTGAGGCTCAGAGCAGCCCGGTAACTCTACTTTCCAAACTCATTGTGGGTGGGAGGGTGGCCCCTGGGCGGGCCCCTGTGTCCAGGCTCCATCCATCCCCAGCCTCATGCTCAGATCCATCACCCCGTCCACGGGGGAGTGACAGAGGCCCGCTGTGTGACCCACGCCAGGTACTGACCTCGAACAGGCCCGGCTCGGCGCAGGGGGACAGCGGCGGGCATGAGCGTGCTGGGACTCAGGGAGGTTTTGTGTGGGCGGCTCGGCCATGAAGACAGGCCTCGGTGGATATTCACAGTTACCGTCGTCCTCATCACGACCGACCCGTAGAAGTTGTTACAGACACCATCGGGACCGGTGACCAGGGGACACGGGCCTGTGCGGCCACGGACCGCAGCCGTGGCACCGCTAAAGCCGCCGTCCTTTGGGCCGGCCCCGATGGCTTTGTTCCAGGCCCCACCAGTCACCCGGGGGGCTGGGGCTGGGGCTGCAGGTGGGGCGGTCCACGGGGGGGGCACCTCGTCTCCCGCGCCCGGGGGCTCACGGCTCCCCTCTGCGTCCCCCCCCCAGGAGGGCTACAAGAGGTGTCCCCCCTCCATCCTGAGGCAGAGCCGGCCGGAACGCCGCAGCCGCGGGGCCGAGCCACAGAAGACCGCCAGGCACGTGCGGTTCCGGGAGCCCCCGGAGGTGGCCGTCCACTGTAAGGGCAGAACGCGGCCAGCAGGCCCGGGGACAGGTGGGGCAGGGGGACGCGTGTCCTGGGACCCGCAGGAGGCCCTCTGAAGGGACCCCGATGACCCCAACGAAACCCGGGCCCACGGGTCAGTCTGCACACAGAGTAACAGTCAACGGAACAGCGAGCGGCAGGAAAACAGTAAATCCACAGCTGTCCAAATCACCACCGTCCTCTCGAGGGAAGGCCGGCGGGCAGGCGTCCCCAGCGGCCCACCCACTCCTCCCTGCAGCGCCCCTCAGCTGCTCCCACCCACGTCCACCTCCCGGCCCCAGCCCCAGAGCCCCTCACCGCCGCCGCCCTCCCCGCCCCCGGCCCACCTCACGCCTGCTTCGGCCCTTCCCTTGGGACCGGCCCCTGTATCCTCTGGCTACACCGGGTGACCACGGACTTAGAGGCTTCGAGCGAGCCACAGTGCCTATTGCAGTGACCCCACGGGTCAGGGGCGCGGACCCGGTGCAGCCTGTCCTCGGCTCAGGCCTGGCCCTCCAGGCTGCCGTCCAGGTGTGGCCCGGGACTGCCTCTCATCTGAGGCCTGCGTCCGTTCCAAGCTCCCTTGCCGTTTGCAGAAGTCAGTTCCTGGCAGCTCTAGAGTCAGCAGCTGCACCTCTGAGAGCAGCAGCAGGCCCTCCCTCCGCTCCTGATTAGGTCGGGCCCACCCAAGATCATCTCCCTTTGGAGGGGACTCCGAGTCAGCTGACCGGGGCCTGCAGCTCCTTTCCCCTTTGCTGTATTCTCTTGGGTAGAAGCAAGTCACGGCCCCCAACCGGGGAGGGGACAGTAGGGAGCTAGGAATCACGGGGGCGTCTTACGTCCTGCCCACCACAGCCCCCCCCCGGCAAGACCTCACTTCCTGAGACCTGCCGAGCTGTGGATGAAACTCTCTGCCCAACACATGTTAGGGTCTCCCTGGATGGCCCGTCACGAGCATCCGGCCCGGCCCCACTCCTCTCCCGATGCCGGGGGGGCTCTTGCAAGGCTCCTCCTGCCTGCTCTTCGCCCCCAGCCCCCTGGCCTCCGCGCTCACCCCCAGGAGCCTCCCAACAGCTCTCTATGGATGGGGCACCAGGGCCCAGGCGGTCCGGGGGTGGTCGGGCCCCCCCAGGAGACTGCGCAGGATGGGAGTGAAGGTCCTCTACAGGCTCCCCCCCCCCAGGCACCCGTGGGGTCACCACACCCCACACTGCACAGGCCACGAGAACAGCGCCCAGCCTCTCGGGGTCCCCGAGACCCGGCAGCTTGAACCTGGGGCAGCGAGGCTGGGACAGACCTTGGAGGGCCCTGCACCTTCCCCTTGTGAAACGGGGTGGCTGTGTCCGACCCGGCCCTTCTCGGGCTCCTTTGGGGGTGGGCGTGGCACATGAGGCCCTGAGGGCGCGGGGCAGGCTGAGGTCGGGTGCGCCCCCAAGCCGGGGGCCTGCCCGCCCAACCGCGTCTCCTCCGCAGACATCGCCAGCAGGGAGTCCACCACGGCCACCAAGGGTGAGTCTGAGCCCTCCCCACACCCCCACACCCCGTGCCCAGGCCACGCTCGCCACACCCCCGGTGGCTCCAGCAGGTCCCCCCCCCCCAGCCCCTGACACCCACGGTTGGCAACAGCACCCCTCTGGGGTCCTGCCCCCTTACTCCTGTCCCAAGGGAGAGTGCCAGAGGCAGGGCCAACAGAGGCCCCAGGCGGGGGGGGGGGGGGGGGGGGCGGGGGGGGGGGGGGGGGGCTCCACGCCCCAGGGGGACCACGGGGGGCACCCGGGGACCCACCACCCTCCCTGCAGCCTCCCCGCCAGCCCCGCAGGAGCAGGGAGCCCCAGGCTCACCCGGGACCCCCTCCGCCCCCAGCGCTCGGCCGGCCCCGGTCCCGCGGCGGCTCCCTGCTCCTGCGGATGTCCGTGTGTCTCCTGCTGGTGCTCGTGCTGGGTCTGTACTGCGGCCGGGCCGAGCGGGTGACACTGGCCCTCGAGGACCTCCGGGCCCGGCTCCTCGCGCTTGCCCTGCGCCTGAGGCACACGGCCGTCACCTGCTGGCACGGCCTGCTGCAGCTGTGACCGCGGCCGGATGCTCGCCCCCACCCCCCACGGCCCCCGTCATGCAGGGCGGGAGCCCCCGCTGGGGTCTGGGAGCTCCCCGGGCGGGGTTGGGGGGGCCCGGAGCCCTGGCTCTGGAGCAGCAGGCGGCCCACCCATCCAGTCAGGGCCCCGCTTGTATGTGTGGGGGTCCACCGTGAGGTTCTACCAGAAAACCGATTCCTCTGCCTGCTTCGGGCCCCGGAGAGCCCTCACCCCAGTGGGAACTCTCCGTATCCTTGGGCCAGGCCCGGAGGCGGACGCGTGGGGCCCCTTGAAGACAGGGACACCGGCCCTGTGCCCGCGAGACCCCTCAGAAGTAAAACTGGACCTTGCTGCTTGGGGCTTGTGGGGCCTGGACCTCAAAACCCCGCGGAGGCACACGGGTCTGGCTGTTGGCGTGGGGCCCTCCCCACTGCGGCCACGAGCGTGCAGGGCGGGGCCTGGCATCTCCCCTTGGTGCTGGTGGTGGGACCCCAGCCTCTGGGCCCAGGTCTGACCCCGAGGCCTCAGGGGCCCTCTCATGCCCCGAGGGAAACATGTGCCGCCCACGACCTCCGCTGTCCACCCGGAGCGGCCGAGAGGCAGCCCGCTCTGCCCGGACCCCCACCGCCCCGGAGCACGGCGCGTGCGCCCGGACCCCAGGTGGTGCCACACACCAGCCACAGTGCCTCCGAGTCCCGTGACCCCGTGCAGACACCGTGCCATCGCCGGTGCTGCAAGGCCATGGGGACCCGTGTGGTCTGGACCCCTGCCTGGAGGGGGGCCTGGAAAAAGCGGGGAGGCCCATGGTCAGACACCAGGAGGGACTGCCAGGAAGACGCCATCTCCCGCAGCAACCCGCAGACAAGCGTCCACGGGACGGCCAACGCCGTGCTGCTGCTTCCCGGGGTGACGCTCTAAGTGCCTGTCCCCATTACCAAAGTGGGGACACACTGGTTTTCTATTAAAACGCACTGCCACCTCTTTAATTAGTCTGGGGGTTTTTACCCAAAGGAGCGAAACAGGGACCATTTGCTACGGAATTGGCTTCATTGGCTAAAGCAGAGGTGGGGGCAGTGGGGAAGCCTTTTCTGCCGGGCCTCAGGGGCTGGGACGGTGGTTACAGGGTTCGGGATTCAGGGGGCCCGGGTGGAGAGGAGGGGCCGATCTCCAGAAGCAGGAGACAACAGGGGCCATGGTCGGGGGAGGACCCCAGCCCTCAGGGACCATCCAGGGTCACAGCTGGTTCTAGCACGACCAGGGTGGTTACCACCTCCCGCAGCAGCCCAGCCCTCCCCCCAGGACCCCACCTCGCCTCACCCCACCCCCCGAAGAGGATGGGCAGATTACTACCCATATTCCAGATGGGGAAACTGAGGCTCAGAGAGGTAGGTCACATGTCCAACCCCATGGGGCGGGCACAAGCCTCAGGCTCAACTCCTCCAGCCCTGGTCCCCCCCGGGGCAGTCCGCCATGAGGCATGAGGCAGCCCCCTCCTCACAGCCACTGCTCTCGGCCAAGAGCCCGTGACGGCAAAGACATCCCGGGTCCGGAAGGCCCACAGGACGTGAGCACCTGCTTTGGGGAAAACACTGCTCAGGCTGTGCACGCCCTGAGAGGTCCGAAATCCCGCATCCAGCCGTGCGCCCCGGGAAGCCCCGGAGCCCGCGCGGACGCGAAGGTCCGAACCCGGAGAGGCCAGGCCCTCATCCCGGCAAGGTTCTGAAGCGACAGGAACAAACACAAGGCAGTTTTTACACCGTAGGAGCGGACGAAACACCGGAAGCCAGGACGCTAAAGGTGGATGGAGGTTGGGGCGGGGGGCGCAGAGGCTCCATTGTCCACAACAAGGCTCAGGACTTTGTGTTTATTTGGACGTTGAACAACAGACACACCAGGCTTAGGAATCATTACTTTCGGTTTTCGTCAGGAGTGGAGTTAAGACAAAGTTGTCTGTTATCCACGCGCAGCTGGGAGAAGCAGAAGCGATCGGGGGGGGGGGGGGGGGCCTTCCTGCCCAGCCCTGGGGAACCCAGCTGTCCCCTCCCTGGAAGCCCCCCACTGGCCTGACACGGGTCTGTGCCAACGACAACCCCGCTGCACCAGTGACACCTGCAGGTAAGTGGGCGCGTCTCCCCTAGCCTGACCGAGGAGGGGAGGCCCCAGACCCGGCCGGGCGCTCCAGGAGCGGCAGCCGCCACGGGCAGGCCCAAACCTGCCATGGACCCTGGGGCTCCAGGAGGCCACGTCCCGCCCCTGCTCCTCTGCCCCCGGGGCCTGGCTGTTGCTGGGAGCAGAGCGGAGCGCTCAGGGGCTGGAGAGGGTCCCCTCGGCTCGTGCACGAGGGCTGAGCTGAGACCAGATCGGCTTGGGGGCCTCGGTTCTCCCAAAACAGCTCCCCCAGCAACCCAGCTGCTCTGTCTGACATTCTCGGCCGGGCCCTGGGGCCTCTGAGATGGCAGGAGGTGACGGGCAGCCTCCCTTCCCTGGCCCAGGCTGCCCGGCCCCACTCGGCACCTCGCCCCGGACCCGCATCTGTGGCCTCGGGAGATCCGTGCCCCCATGTGGGAGACCAAACCAGCCCCTGGCAGCAAGAGGCACGGATGCGGGGAGCCGGGCATCTTCTTCCCTGGAGGGTGGGGAGCAGCAGGAGGGTCAGCCCGGGAGACGAGAACGGGGTGCCCCACTCCTACAGAGGAGCACCACGTGCAGATGTGGAAGCCGGGGAGCCCCGCGAGGAGGGGGGTCCACAGCCCAGCAGCCCAGGTGGCTCATCACTGAGCTCTGGGGTCACGGGTCCCCCCGGCTCCTCCACCTGCCCCTGTGTGGACGGGGTCATGCCCTCTGGCGGCCTCAGTGCTCCAGGCTCCGTCCATCAGACGGGAAGGCAGCCCCTCCACCGGGGGGGGGGGTGCCGGGGGCACAGGGGGCGTCCTGGTGGATGAAGGCCAGAGAAGCCGCTGTGTCCTCACCAGCTCTGATGTCTGCTCACACCTTGCGGCACACACGCACTCATGCTCACGGTTGGGCACACACATTCCCATCCATGCTCACACACTCATGTGTGCACATGCACGTGCTCACATTCCTGCGCACACTCACTCACACTTGTGAATGTGAGCTCACGTAGAGCTACACGCTCACACACTCACACCTTCCCGTGCACTTACATGCGTGTGCACACACTCGTGTCACACACGCACTAATATCACACAGACACATCCACACACTCACAGGCACTCACACGCTCACCCAGACGCCTCCAGTGGCACCTGCCCCACCCCATCCTCCCTAGGGGGCGCTGTGCCCCTCAGCCCGTGTCCCCGCCTCCCCCACCTCCCCACCCTGTGACACAAACATTGGGGCCCGGGAGCCTCCAGGCAGGGCCACCCGGGGCTCCCCCGGCAAGTCCCATGGCAGAGGACGAGGGGCACCGGGCGCGGGCCCCCAGTCCTGACACCACAGCCACTTTCCAGGACACCCACACAGCCACCACCTGACTCAGGGCAACACCACTGCCCTATGCTTTTGACGCTGAGACCAGGCCTGGCCACCTGGGCACCACGAAGCAGGAGCACAGGGAACCGGGCCCTGCGGCAGGGGCGGGGGGTGCAGGGCCAGAAGGTGGGGAACACACTGCCGGAGAGCTCCCTCCTGCACCCACCCCCCAGCTCCCAGGCCACAGAAGTCGTGGCCCACGCACTGCTCAGGAGCAAGGGACAAGAGCGATGCGTGGCCCTCGTGGGCTGGGGTCACTCTGGGGACGCAGGCTGCCCGACAGAATCGCACACAGAATCACACCCGGGCAAGCCGGCAAGGTGACGGAGACGGCACCCAGCCGTGGCGTGCAGGCGAGCTCTACGGCAGGGGTGCCCTAGAGTCTGGACCCCCGCTCAGCAGGCTTGCCCGGCCAGCGCCCCCCGGAAAGGCCGGCCGTGCAAGCACGGAGCCCGGAGGAGGCCCCTGCGTGGCCCTGTCTGAGGGCCGGCGCCCACCCCGGGCAGCCGCCACACGCAGGGTGGGGGTGGGGGGCTCGGTGAGCGGGCTCACTCACTTTGCACGGTGCCGAGGGGGGACATGCAAGGCGAGGGGCAGGTGGGGCCAGGCAGGGCCCCCCGCTGCTCCCCCAGGTGGGGCTGTGAGCCCCGGGGCGAGGCGGGGGTGGAGGGGGGGCGTCTGGGGGCGGGGCTCCCCCGCCCGCACCTAGATGACCGCGCTCTTCTCCTCCTGGAAGCAGGTGCGGGGGGTCGGCCTGGCCAGCAGCAGCTCCTTCTCGTGCACCAGGCTGTCCAACAGGTCCTCCTGGCGGTAGTTGTGGTAGACTTTCAGGAAAGCCAGGATGGTGACGGCCAGCCAGGCCAGCCACGAGGCCCAGAGGCCGAACTACGCAGAGGGCAGAGGCAGGGTCAGGAGGCCGGCCGGCCCGCAACCCCCCTGCCCCGGGGTCCGCCTCGCCTCCTCCCCAACACGCCCATCCCTCCCTGGCATCTGGCGGCCTGCCCTCTGAACCCCGAGCTGCACGATGCTTTTGGGGGTCTGCCCACCTTCGCCCCCAGGCAGCCCAGCCCACCCGTCCCCAAGGAGAGCCCGCCCGTGACAGAGCCACCTCCAGCTGCCGGGGTGAATTGACCTTGGTCGGCTTCTCCCAAACAGCTGAAGGAGAAACAATTTAACGGAACCAGGCCTGAGCCACACGCAACAGATCCTCGTGTCAGGTTGTCACCAGACTCAGCTCGCGCCTTCCTAATCTAATTGGCGCAAGTAGCCCCGAAGCATTTTCCATTCCATCTTCGTGAAGGAGTCTCTGGTGCTTTCAGCTCATGTCAGCAAAGAACCTTGGACCCACCAGATGTGCAGCCCCCCAGCGGGCTCCTCTCCAAAGGAAGAGTCCTCAGATCAGCCACGGGCCGATGTGAGCCCTGAGAGGCCAGTCTGGGGTCCAAACATGGACCTGGATGCCAGCAAGCCCTGCCCAGGGCGGGAAGAAGCCAACCCCACCTGCGGACCCCGCAGCAGTGTCGTCTGCCTAGACACAAATGTGGACCCAGACACAGGCCCTCACTGACCGCTGACAAGCCCCGACACAGCTGTATCCCAGCCAATGGGTCCCCAGAGAGGCACCGGGTCTCCTGAGGCCAGGCAGGGGGAGGGTCTCTGCCCCCCCACACCGTTCCTCAGACATAGCATCTGCTTCCCCTGGCCAGGCAGTAACCACAAGCCCCCCAGCATCTATCGGAGGGTCCCTGCTCCAAGCGCCCTGCCCCGGACTGCAGACCAGGGGTCTGATGCCTGGTTTCCTTTCTTGGCACAGAGCCACTCCCTCACCCCCTGAACCTCACTTCCGCAGTTAGCTCACGCTGGCCCCTCCTCCTAGGAGCCCAATGCCTCACCCCTCTCCACATCCACCTGCGAGAACCCTCACTCAGTCTCTGAGATCCAGCTCTTCCAACCCCTCCTCCAGGAAGCCTTCCCGAATATACCACTCACTCAGCTGCATCTCCTTTGCTTGGCCCCATCCTCGACCTCCCCTGGATGAGAGCGAGAGCCTTTGGAGACAGTCTGTGTATCCGGTGTATTCAGCAGTGAATGGAATCCTCCCCAACGATGCATGCTTCCCTGCCTAGCAGAACAGACCCGCCTACCACGCACCCCCTCCCACCAGAACAGCCCCGCATACCTAGCAGCCCCTCCTACCTGAACATCCCCGCCTACCCGGCAGCCCCTCCTACCAGAACAGCCCCGCCTACCCGGCAGCCCCGCCTACCTGGCAACCTGCGTCTCCTACCTGAACAACCCCGCCTACCAGAACAGCCCCGCCTACCCAGCAGCCCCACCTACATGAACAGCCCCGCCCACCCGGCAGCCCCACCTACCAGAACAGCCCCGCCTGCCTGAACAGCCCTGCCTACCAGAACAGCCCGCCTACCCGGGAGCCCCGCCTACCAGAATAGCCCCCGCCTACCCAGAAGCCCCTCCTACCTGAACA